CTGGATAAATGGGGGGCTTTCCGGGCACGACTTTTCCGGGAATCCTGCGTCTTCCATCGCGGCAACTACGTGAAGGACCTGAGCCGCCTGGGCCGTGACCTGCGCCGGATCATCATCGTGGACAACTCGCCCGCATCCTACATCTTCCACCCCGATAACGCTGTACGTACCCCCGGGGTGAGGCTGGGTGTGGCACGGAGGGGAGGTAGCGAGGGACCCTCTCTCAGTCTGCTGTGCCACCTGCAGGTGCCAGTGGCTTCCTGGTTCGATAACATGGCAGACACGGAGCTGCTGGATCTGCTGCCCTTCTTCGAGAGGCTCAGCAAGGTGGAGGATGTGTATGCAGTGCTCAAGAAGCAGCGGACTAACAGCTAATGGCCCCTCCACCCTGCCGGCTGCTGCCGAGGGGCACCAGCGGGGGAGCCAGGTGCCTTATTTTGGGGGAGAGGGGGGTCCCGGTGTGCCCCCCATCATCCTTGCCAGCCCCAGTGGGTGCAGGTGCCCTCCCTGCCTGCTGGTGGTGGGAGATGTGGGTGCCCCTGCCAGGGAGCTGAGTGTCCCCCTTCTCACAGAAAAGGGGGGCTGTGGGTGACCTGCTGCCTTGCTGTGCTGAGGACCTGTTGGGGGGGGTCCCATCCTCCCACACTGTCCAGCCTCTGCCCTCTCCCAACCTCTGTCCCCCCTCCCCAAAACGGTTCTCAGGTCCTTTTCCCCTCCGTGTCCCCCTGAGTGGGGTGGGGGGATCAGCAGCTGCTGTTTTCCACTGCCTTTGGGGGGACTAGATCCCTCCATCCAGGCTCTGCCTGCTGAGAGCCTGGTGGCCCTTGGCCCCTATCTGCAGGGGTTACAGGACAGTTCAACACCTTGTCACTCTCCAAAAATGGGGGAGTCTTATTGTTGGTGCATAAGGCTGCCACCATGCCCTTAACTCTGCCCTGGGTGCAGCTGATCACCTCATGGGGGGCATGTCCTTGCCCACCTTCGTGCCTTCTCCTGCCCCGCCCACATAGGGGGTGTGTTTTGGGGGAGCAGCCTGGCCTCAGGGCTGAGCCGCTGGGCACAAATACCCCCCATGTGCCTTGAGACACTGTGTCTCTGTGGCCCCCTTAGCCCTGCAAGGGCTGTGCCTGGAGGGGGGGGCTCTTAACTCCCCTTCTCCAATCTCAGTTTCTTCCCTTGTTCTGAGGGCCTCCCCCCATCTCCAGTTACACTGTGTTAGTGGGAGCCACTCCGGTCGCCAACGAGGGGGTCCCCTCCCGCATGGGGGGGCACACACCTCCTCCTCATCCATCTGCAGCTTTGCCAAAGGCTGCTGCTCCTAGGAGGGATGGAACGCCATACCAGCCTTACTTCCCCTTTCTAGCCTTGCCCCAGTCCCCCAACTGGGATAGGGGTGGGGGGCACTGCAGCCTCCCTCCTTTCCCATAGCCTGGGGTTACCCTTGACCCCCGTGGGGTTGGACTGGTGCCAGGGTGTCCCCCAGCCTTGAGGGGCTGGGGGCTCTCAGGGAGGGGTTTTAGCAGGGGGCTGAGCTCAACGAGGCCTTTTTTAACGTCACAATATGGACAATGCCTCATATCTTTTTAGAGGGAAAAACAATGGTTTCCCAAAAAATCATGGGTGCCTTTTTACCGCTGTGCCAGCGAAGGGAATGGGGCAGTATTTGGGGGGGTGGGTGTGAGAGGTTTTAGCTTTCCGGTGCTGTTCAGCCGGCTCCTGCCGGCACTGCCCTTCTCCCGGTGCTGGGGGTAAGTGGGGGTCCCCCCAGCCCTGTCCACACCCCTGCCTGCACCCTTGCCCCATGGCCAGGGGTGGGGTAGGGGGTGGTACAGCACACCTGCTGGATCTCTGCCAGCCCTGGGCCTCATCCTGCCCCTCCAGGAGGGCTGAACTCAGCACTTTACATTAGACAAGTCAAACGGCACCAGCGCAGCCATTGCCCAGCGAGTACCTGTGGGTGCTGCAGCATCCAAGGAGCACAGCCCCTGTGCTGGGCACCCTTGGGGGGCCGGGGGGTGCAGAGGCGGCATGGGGGGTCTGGAGAGGGCTGGAATACCAGATCCAAGTGCCTTCATGTGATTAAAGCTGTCAAACCATCTTGGAAAGGGGAGTCCTGAGTGTGTACGTGTGTGGGCATGAGCTCCTATCACGCACGCGTCACTAGTGGCTGTGCAAAGTGGGGGCACACAGGGAGCCCCTGGGATACCCTAAATCCCCCTGGGAAGGGGGGATGCTGCAGGTCAGTGCTGGGGGAGCACCTTCGGGTTGCCAGGTTGAGATTTCACTCCTTACCTGGTGCCAAGGGGGACACCCTCACACTCCAGGGCAGCCCCCCCCCCAGGCTGCCCTGGCACCTCCATCCTAATTCCTTCCCCCTCCTCCTGGGAAAAGGTCCCTGGTGCCACGGGGGTGGGTATCCTGTCCCTTAACAAGGAGAGGGTAAATTTACCATGGGAGCTGTACACCTCCCCCCCCCTCAGCTTCGGGGCTTCATGTTACTCCAAATAGGATGTCAGGCCTTATTTGACTGGAGAGCCCTTGTGGGGGGACTTGTGACACACACACACGCACCCCTTCGTTCCCCAGGCAGCCTGCTGCCAACATGCAGGCACTGGATTGCTGGGGGAGAGGTGGGGGTCTCTTAGCTGCCCCCCCCCCCCATGCCCTCATTGGCCCTGTGCCTCCCCTCATTAACAAAGTCTATGTCCTCTCTCATGGCTGCACTAATTATTGAGTTCATTAGTGACCCGGCTGGGAGGCCCAGGGAGGGGCTGAGCCCGCTGGGGCTGGCATGGGGTCTCCCACCCCTGTGCCACACCGACGGACATAGCCCTGGGACACAGCCACTGAGCAGAGACCGACCACCTGGGTGTTACACCCCACCCAAAACTCAGGCCCTCACCCCCACTGGGGGTTCTGAACCCAGGTAAGGGTCCCATGGGGATACTCATGTGGAGTGCGGGGGGAGGGGGGGGGCAGAGGAGTGGAGAGCAGCAGGAGAGCCCATCCCTGTGCTATCGGGGCTCCCCCTTGTTTGTGGCCGACCTGCCCCCTGTGCCAGTTCAGCCCACTGTCATCACTTTGGGGATCCTTGGAGGGGGGACTGTCAGGATTTGGGGCTCACAGCAGCCCAGGCCTGGTGCCAGGGTGACAGCAGGGTGTGGGATGCCCCCAGCACTTGTGGCCAGGGGTGCTGGCTCAGCAGGGCAGCCAAGATAAAGCTGCGGCAATCCCGCAGGGCTGGGGAAGAGATAAGAGCAGATAGGAAGCCTGGAGACCTGCCTGCTGGCACCTCACCCTTCACCTTTATGGTACCCCGTGTTCATTCCCCAAAACTGTCTTTGAGTCTGGGAGCTACTGGGCAGGACTTCAGTCTCCTCTCTGCCAATATCAAGGGCATCATCAGGTACTAACTTTTGGGATGGGGGCTTGGGGGCATGGGACAGGACTTAGTATATCCTGTCCCCCCAAACCCCAGCTCTATGTCCCATCCCTGTAACTCCTTCCCATCCCCAAGGAGACCTCAGACCTGTGGAGACCCCCAATGCAAGGAGGCAAAGCTGGGAGTGAGCAGGGATCTGGCTGAGGTGTGGCACAGCCTTGAGACAGTCCCATGGGCAGGGCAGTGATGTGCCAGGTAGGGGGTGGAAAGGGGATGCCACAGGAAGCTGGTGCTGCATTGGTATCACTTTGGGGAACCTTTTTAGAGGGGAGAAGACACCAAAAAAACCCCACTGCCATGCTCTTAGTGCTCCATGGCTGGGAGGGTTTTGGGATTTTGCGGTCTGGGGAGTGAAGAACAGCGGTAAAGCACATCCCTGTGGCATCAGGGCACCACTGTGTTTGTGGCTGATGGTCGTGTGTCCTGGTCCAGCCCATTGCTATCACTGGGGAACTTTTTGGTGAGGGGCAAAAAACCAGTCACCATGGGCTGAATGCCAAGGGCCAAAAGAGTAACAGGCTTGGGGAGGCACCAGCATAGGCACAGCCAGCCCGTGGGCAGGGTCCAATAGGACCTGGGGAGGGCAACACCCCATGAGTAACGGGGCTCTCAGGTGCCACAAAGTCTTGGAGGGCCATGGGGACCTTGACTCTGGGCTGTTCCTGCCCTTATATGGTGAATATGGGCTGGGACATGAGGGGACAAAGTCTCCTGGGTGCTGGCACCTGAGCACTCCGCCTAGGTAGGTTCACCTGTGCCCAGCTCTGCGGTGAAGGTGAGGGGCTGGGGCGGGATGAGGGGACGGAGGGTGGGCATGGAGTGGACAGTGCATGCCACGGCCACCATCACTCCTGGCACTGGGGTGGCCTGGGCATGGGACTTGGGGACCCACCTGTGCCCCACCTTGGTGCTGCACGTGGGGGGATGCTACCCCTTGGGTCTGAGGGATGGGATGTGGGTGCTTACAGAGCAGCACAGCAGGGCCAGGCGAGGTTTTGCAGGGCTGAGGAAACAGAGGCCTCTCTGCTGGGCACCACTAGCTCTCCCTGCCAGCCACCAGCCAGGGCACAGCAGGGCCTTTGCCTGACACCGGCTGCCTGGCCCCTCTGCCTACTCGTGGGGAGCACTGCCAGCCTGGCAGAGATGGCTGTGGGCAACTTTGGCAGCACCAAGGCCGAGCCCTGGCACACTCAGCACCTCTGTGGGGCCAGGATGTGCCCTCCCTGGGGGGCATGGATCCAGTAGGGGGGTTGGAAGCAGGGGGTCTGAAGCAGGCAGTGTGCTTGCACACGTGTGTGTGTGTGTGTGTGTGTGTGTGTAAGGGCACCAGCAGTGGCCATGTCATGCTGTGTCACTTTGTGCCAAGCTGTGCCAGGACAAGGCTGAGCAGGGCTGGTTCCTGCTGGTCCTGGGGAGGAACAGGCTACTGCACAGCAGTGTCACCCAGCTGCAGCTGCTGCACTGTGGGTGCCCTGCACAGCTCTGTCTCTTGCCTGGGTGCAGAGCAGGGCACTGGGGCACTTACTGCTCCTGCCCACCCTGGACCCTCGCATGGAGCTGTGGCTGCACTGCCAGCTGAGCTGAGGGGACAGCAGCCCTGTTTGTGTGCCCACAGTCCTGACACTGCAGTGCCAGGGTTCCCCTCATCCTGTGCAGCTCTGGCTGGGCTGTCTGCAGAGTGGGCAGGGAAGCAGATGGCACGGCAGGCTGGCTGTGTCCCAGGTCTTGATGACACTGCCTGCCATTAACAAGGGTGTTGCCAATGCTGGTAGGTCCCCTTGTCTGTGGTACCTGTCACCATGGTGGAGCTCAGCGGCAAAGTCACCAGGACACTCAACAAGACCACGCCGGGCATCCAGATATGGCGAATCGAGGTACGGATGAGGGCACAGCCTGGACACCCATCACTGGGCTGCTTGGGGGGGTCTCTATGAGGGAAGGTCCTCCCCTTGTGTACTCAGTGCCTGTTTTTGGGTGTCTCAGTGCAGCATCCAGAGTTAAACCCCCCCAGGTTCTGGGGCTGGGGGCAGTGGGGTGCATAGGGCTGGGGTGGGGGGTTCCCCACCAGGGCTGACATCTCCCTTTCTTCTGCAGAACATGGAGATGGTGCCAGTGCCCACCAAAAGCTACGGCAACTTCTATGAGGGGGATTGCTACGTCCTGCTGTCGGTAGGGCAGTCAGGGGTCACACGGGGAACTGGGAATGGGCTCTGCCCTGGGGGGACTGGGATGCCGGGAGGGGTGTCTGTGACCAGAGTGACCTGGGGACACAGGGGTTCTTCTAGCGGGAACTGGTGTCCTGCAGACACGCAAGTCTGGGAGCGGCTTCACCTATGACATCCACTACTGGCTGGGCAAGGAGTCGAGCCAGGATGAGCAGGGGGCAGCTGCCATCTACACCACCCAGATGGATGATCACCTGGGCTCAGTGGCTGTGCAACACCGCGAGGTCCAGGGACATGAGAGCGAGACCTTCCGTGCCTACTTCAAGCAGGGACTCATGTATGTCACTCATCCCTGGGGACCCGATCCCACAGTGGGTGACAGTGGGGAGCGGTCCTCTGCATGTGGCTTGTGGGGACACCCTCAGTGGGGATGGGGACAGCCCTGTCCCAGTGGGGTGTGAGAGGTAGGAAAAGGATCTGGAGCTGGTCTTGCTCCACCCATCATCCATGTGGTTGGGAGGGGGACCCCACTGAAGTGAGGAGGGGACACCCGGGGCTGACACTATGTCTACTCACCCCAGCTATAAGAAGGGTGGAGTGGCCTCGGGCCTGAAGCACGTGGAGACAAACACCTACAACATCCAGCGCCTGCTGCATGTGAAGGGCAAGAAGAATGTGGCAGCGGGAGAGGTGAGTTATGGGATGTGGGGAGTTCCCAGCCATCAACCTCTATGCAGACATGCTGTTTAGGATCAGGGTCAGGCCAGAGCTCCCCCAGACACAGCTGCCCTCAAGCAAGGGACAAAAGTGTGTGCAGGATGATGCTGCCTTGCCTCGGGAGCAGCTGCACCTCAAAAAGCCCCTCTTGAGGTAGGGAGGAGGAATATAGGCTGGAGGTATCAGCACTGAGTGAGGGCAGGCAGGGGCTGTAAAGCCGTGGAGACCCAGGCATCCTGCTGCTTGACACCCACCCCTCCCAATCTCGTCCTGCTGCAGGTGGAGATGAGCTGGAAAAGCTTCAACCGGGGCGATGTCTTCCTGCTGGACCTGGGCCAGCTCATTATCCAGTGGAATGGCCCTGAGAGCAACCGAAATGAGAGGCTGAGGGTACGGCCAGGGGGTCCCAGGGTTCCCTCCTGGAGGAATGGGGGTGACCAGCCACCCCCTCCCTGATCCAGGCTTACCTGTTCTCCCCTGGGTGCAGGCAATGACCCTGGCCAAGGACATCCGGGACCGGGAACGTGGGGGCCGTGCCCAGGTGGGCATTGTAGAGGGTGAGAACGAGGATGCCTCGCCAGAGCTCATGAAGGTCCTCACACATGTGCTGGGTGAGAAGAGGGATATTCAGCCAGCCATCCCTGATGATAAAGTGGACCAGATCGTCAAGTCCTCCCTCAAGCTCTACCAGTGAGTTGCTGGGCATGAGTTACCCACAGGGACATTTTGTGCGGTGCCAGAGGGACCCAGCACCCAACTCTGCTACGTCCCACAACTCCTGTCCCGTGGACAGCCACCAAGAAGTGTCAAGGTCACAGCAGGGGTGGGGATGGGTCCTTTGGGTGCCTTTGAGCAAGAGGAGTCCTTGGTGCTGACAGGATTGGTACCTACTGGAGAGACGCTCGTGCTGAGTGTCACCTTTGTATATGGCAGCAATGTTCCTGGGTGGCACCATCACACCTGACACCCCTTTGTCCCTCCTTGTGGCCATGAGAGAGCTGCATGGCAGGGCAAGCTACAAACCAGATTGCCACCATGGCAGGGCAAGAGTGTCCTTGGGCACCACCTGTGCCATGATCTGGGTGGTGAACGGGATGCGGAGGGGATACCCCCACCAAACCATGCCACCCCAAAATGGGGATGGTTTTTTCCAACCTGGTTTCTAACCCCTCCTTTCTCTCTTTTTCTCCTGTCAGCGTCTCCAATGAGAGTGGGAACCTGGTCATTCAGGAGGTGGCGTTTCGACCCCTAACTCAAGACATGCTCCTGCATGAGGTGTGTTACCCCATGGGATGCTTGGGAGTGCCCAATTTCCCTGGCAGCTTTAACCCTTCAAAATTGCCCACCCAATCAGCTTTTTAAGGGTTAAAGTTGCCCAAAATCCTAATTTCTGCTGTTGTCCCCTCTCCAAGGACTGTTACATCCTTGATCAAGGAGGTCTCAAGATCTTTGTGTGGAAGGGCAAGAACGCCAACAAGGAGGAAAAGCAGGAAGCAATGACCACGGCGCTGGTGGGTGTTGGGTTATGGGTTGGCTATGGGATAGCCTGGCTCCTTCCTGGGGTGCCAGGCCCCCCATGCCCACGCTCTGTGTTCGGATACCCCAGGGCTTCATCAAAGCCAAGAACTACCCAGCCAGCACCAGCGTGGAGACAGAGAATGATGGGTCTGAGTCAACCATCTTTAGGCAGCTCTTCCAAAAATGGACTGTTCCTAACCAGACCAGTGCGTTGGGCAAGACCTACACTGTGGGCAAAGTGGGTGAGTGTCTCCTTCTGACGCAGCAGGGCTCCTTGATTTGGGATGTAGGGGCTATGGGGTCCCCAAAGCCAGTGGGATTTAGCTCACCTCTCTGCCCTTCTCCGCAGCCAAGGTGGAGCAGGTCAAGTTTGATGCCACCACACTGCACGCCAAGCCCCAGATGGCCGCCCAGCAGAAAATGGTGGATGATGGATCTGGGGAGGTGGAGGTAGGGTAGCCTTGGAAGAATGCAAGACCCTCTCAGGCACCCCCTGTTCTACACCAGGGGGATGCACCAGCCCTGATAGCAGTACATCCCTGTCCTTGTCCCACCAGGTCTGGCGTGTGGAGAACAACGAGCTGGTGCCCGTAGAGAAGAAGTGGCTGGGCCATTTCTATGGGGGGGACTGCTATGTGGTGCTCTACACCTATTCTGTGGGGCCCAAGGTGAACCGCATCATCTACCTCTGGCAGGTGAGACCTCCAGGTCCCTGACCTGTGGGTGGGGGCCAGGGATGCTCTGCCTCACACATTACCCCATGGGAACAGCACGAGGGTTCCCTCTTCCCAAGAGGGTAGAGGGGGCTGTGATGTGTGCTGAGTGCCCCTCTGCCCTGCCCAGGGCCGCCACGCCACCCCAGATGAGCTGGCTGCCTCTGCCTACCTGACTGTTGCCCTGGACCAGAAGTACAACAATGAGCCCGTGCAGATCCGTGTCACCATGGGCAAGGAGCCAGCCCACCTGATGGCCATCTTCAAGGGCAGGATGGTGGTATATGCGGTGAGCATGAGGCTGGGGGGGTGTGGGCAGGCAGGTGACCCTGTGGCATAGGGGTGACCTCCTGTCCCTGTCCCCCAGGGTGGCACCTCGCGGGCAGGCAGCACGGAGCCCACACCCTCCACCCGCCTCTTCCACGTGCATGGCACCAATGAGTACAACACCAAGGCCTTTGAGGTGCCCGTCCGTGCCTCCTCCCTCAACTCCAATGATGTCTTTGTGCTCAAAACCCCCAGCACCTGTTACCTCTGGTATGGGAAGGTGGGTACTGCTGGCGTGGATGCTGCCACCCCTAAGAGAAACGTTCTCTGCTTCTCTTCCCCCTCCTTGGCTGGGGCCAGTGAAGGAGCAGCTGCACTTGCTTGGCAGGGCTGCAGCGGGGATGAACGTGAGATGGGCAAGACTGTGGCCGATATAATCTCCAAGACAGAGAAGCCAGTGATTGCAGAGGGACAGGAGCCCCCTGAGTTCTGGCTGGCCCTAGGGGGCAAGTCCCAGTATGCCAGCAGCAAGAGGTACCAGTCTTGTCCCTACCACCCTGAGGGGTAAGATGGGCCACCATTCCCCAAGCAGGATGAGCAGCATTCCCACCACCATGTTGCCCCCTGTCAGGCTGCAGGAGGAGAATCCCTCTGTGTCCCCCCGACTCTTTGAGTGCTCCAACAAGACAGGCACCTTCTTGGCCACGGAGATCATAGACTTCACCCAGGATGACCTGGAGGAGAGTGACGTTTACCTGCTAGACGCCTGGGACCAGGTGAGCTGAGGGGCCATGGAGTGGCAGACACACCACTGATCTCACAAACTGATGTTCTGGAGGGGCGTTGGGTGGGAAGTGTAGGAGGACTTGCAGCAGCTTGAGGTGGGAGGATAGCAGACTGGAAACCCCCCATATCCGTGGCCGAATGATGTTTTTTTCCAGCCCTCTTGCTCCAGGCGTTGCTGAGGATGGACTCCCAGTGTCCTTCTCCGTGGACAGGTCCTGTGTGCCTCCAACCATAGACAGGGCATGGCCCCAGAGGGCTCCAATCTCACCTCAGTGGTGGACATGGTAACCTCGTTGCAGGTTTTCTTCTGGATTGGAAATGGAGCCAATGAGTCAGAGAAGGAGGCAGCAGCGGTGATGGCACAGGAATACCTGCGGACCCACCCCAGTGGGCGCGACCCCGAAACCCCCATCATTGTGGTGAAGCAGGGCTATGAGCCCCCCACCTTCACTGGCTGGTTCCATGCCTGGGACCCTCTCAACTGGGCTGTGAGTCGTGGAGGGGGTTCGAAAGACTGGGGGACCCTTTGCAGATGGGACCGGGTGTGGGTCTGGACCCAGGAAGCATCTCGGGGGTGTGGGCAGCAGCTGGCCTGACCCCTGCCCCTGCCGAGGGGCTGAGCACTTTTGTCCCCTTCCCAGGACAAGAAATCCTATGAGACGATGAAAGCTGAGCTGGGCGATGAGAGCAGGCTCGGGCAGCTCACCTCAGTAAGTGGCACAAGGGAGAGGGGCAGTCAGGCTGGGAGGGGGCACAGAAAGCCCCTCCCTCCCCTTGGCAAGGGCGAGGAGAGACCCTCCAGTGAGGGGACACCTGGAGCCAACCTGGTGCCTCCATCCCTGGGGCAGCCCCTGATGTGACCCTGCCCCCCCATTCAGGTGCTCACATCCAGGCAAGAGGTCTTCACTGCCTCCACCACCCTTGTCCCCTCCAAACTGGAGACCTTCCCCTTGGATGTGCTGGTGAACACCTCAGCTGAGGACCTGCCACGGGGTGTAGACCCCAGCAGGAAGGAGGTGAGAGGGGGCTGGGGAGCTGCTGGGGCGGGAAACTGGGGAAGCTCCCCCGTGCTTTAGCTCAGCCTCCTCTCTCCTCTCCAGGCCCATCTCTCTGACGAGGACTTCCAGGCTGTTTTCGGCATGAATCGCTCTGCCTTCGGCAGCCTTCCCTTGTGGAAACAACAGAAGCTCAAGAAGGACAAAGGGCTCTTCTAGGGCAGGAGCCTGGGCCCAGGGACAACTCCTGCTCCTTATTTTTTATTAAATAAAATTAATTTGGAGAGCAGGGCTGTGTCTCCATCCCTCCCCTCCCAACCCCAGAGCTCAGCCCAGGTGTGGGGCTTATTTGGCAAAGCAAAGGCATGCAGAGACACACAGGTCTTGACCGGGTACCAGCAGCACAGGGAAGGACCCCCAGCTCCTTTTCCAATTCCTTCCTTTGCCCTCCAGGCATGCAAAGGTGGTGCACAAGCTGAGCATGCCCGAGGAATCAGGACTCTCTCATCCCACCCCCGCGCCTTGTAGCTCCGGGCTAAAGGTCCAATATACAGCTGGAGCCACTCCCCTCCCTTATCGCCTGAACTGCTGAACCGCAGTAAATACGTCCGGTACCAAAGGTAAAGAGAGGACAGTGTGCGCGTGTGGGGACAGACACCAGGGAGCACTTGTCCTTGCCCCAGGAGGGGAGAAGGGCATCTCCTTCCACTTGGGATCCACAGGGATTCTGAGAGACACGGGGGTGTGCCCCGCGGGGACACATTTCTGTCAGGGGGCCGGGATTTGAATGTGCCGAGGGGCGTTGAACACACAGAGAATGTTCCCAGGCAACTGAGGAAAGTGCCAGTGCCAAACGGGAGGCGGAGGTGAGGTGCCCAGCAAGAGGCAGCAGCCCAGGCAGTGCGGAAATAAGGTCTCAAATCAAGAGAGGGTTAATAAAGAGGTTTTAATTTCACAAAAATCTATCTACACATCATTTAAAAACGGGCAGGGGGAACCCAAGAGCAAAAACTGTAAAGAACAGAGAGGAACAGGTCTGCTAAAACACAGAGAAAAGCGCTGCTCCACATCAACAGTGTTAAGAACCGGAGTGTCGAGGTGCAGGCAGAAGCCGGCAGCAACCACCCCGGGGCAGGCAAGGCTGGAGTCTGGCAGCAGACCACATGGACAGCAGCTGCCAGGGGTCCCGCACCCCTCTTTTTCTCTTTGGCGGGCAGTTAAAGGGATAATTAGCTCCATTAAAAACAAAGCAGATGAGTTATTCCCAGCCCCCCTCCCCGAGCACTACGTTCCCCATGTGCCCCGTGCGGGGTGAACTGCAGCAGGAAGCGCTGAGCTGGCAATCAACCCTTCCTTGGATGCAGGACAGGAAGGAAGATGCACGGGCGATGGTTATCTGTGCTGCACTGAGCAGGAGGTGGAAGGCGGTGCCATGGCCACAGGCGTTGGAGAGCCCCGCTCCCTCCTCCTGTCGGTCCGACGCTGCCAATCCAGTCGGGAAACCTTGTCCTTGTCCTGCAAAGGCTCTTTGTGCAGCCCCACTGGCCAGGGCTCCCCAGGGACCTGCACACAAGCTCCAGTTCATTGACACGAAAGCTTTGCACCTCTCAGATTAGGGGAGTAAATCAAGAGCAAATTAGCGCAGTCAGACAATGAGGGGATGAAGGGACAGTGGGATGGGAATCCCTTGAGTTCATGTGCTGAATCACACTTGTACTAAACTAGGCTGATTCAGAAGCAAGTAAATATTTAACTGAGGAAGAGCTTGCATGTGGTTCAGGGACTGCAACTGAGCTTCACCTCCCTATACCCCAGGACAGGTATTCTACGTGGAAAGGCCAACCTTATTGAACTTGTTGCAGCAAGTGTGAGCAGTGGGAATGATACAGCTGGTGAGCAGCACATCCCTTGAGGACTACACACTTATCTTCCTCCCCACTGCTCTCGGACAGGGACAAAGCTGGCTTCTGCAAGGAAGGGGCTCCACGGACAATCTTGTCAGGGTGAAGGTGCAACTGAGTTGCTGTATGCCAAACAAAAAAGCTTAAATTAATTAATAGATGTCTGCAAATTCTTAATGGCTAGAATAAAAGGCAAGAACTTTTCATAAAACAAGGAACACTGGTTTCAAGCATCAGCTTTTGCATCTTGATCCAAACAAAACTAGTTTTAATCAAAAGTTACTGCACTGAAAAATCAGGCAATGTTTGCTTTTATTATAAATTAACTGGAGTGCAGTGCCTTGCAAAAACAACCTTGCCAACCAAAAAAGCAGAGCTGACTTCTGATACTACAGGAATACCAGTTATTTACAGCACGAGCAAGGGATGTGCTTGAGGAAAACCGGTTTGCCCTCTGGACGGAGCAGTCCATCACATTCGCAGGGCGATCAGTTCAAAGGACAACTCCCATGTTACCGCCTCTTCCCATCGCCTGGAATTCTACCAAAATTAGTATCAACAATAGAAAAGTATAATGCTTTGTAATAAATTAACATATACAGCCCCTCGGGCAGCATCTCACGAGATAAATGTTCTGTCATGTCTACAACCAAACATTTGCTCCTAGGTCAGAGACCAGGAAGATGCCACCATGACCTGGGCCCTGGGATCATCACACACTGGGAATGGGAGGGAGGTCAGTCTCTTCACCACACCGGGGTCCCCAGAGTGCTCGAGGTGGGGAGGATACCAACAGCTGTCACTCACTGCTGCCCACACGGGTGGGAAGAGGCCACTGAGGCAGCAGCACTCCCAGCTGGCCCGCTAGGATAAACTCTAGTGTGGAAGTACCCGTGAAAGGTGCCTGCTGTCTCCTAAATCGATGGTTTTGTCTGCTTTGCTTCAGCTGATTTTATTCCTGAGAAACTCCTAACAATAGTTTAAAAAACTCAGAAACTATCTCAACAGCAAAAAAGGTGATTTTTTTTTTTTTTTTTCCTTAAAGAAGTCTTTCACCTCTGGAACTCAAGCTGTGATATCAAAACTAAAGGCAATGACTCTGCTTACAGCAACAACTTCTCTGAAATGAGTAAATACCAGTGAAAGGAAACATCTGCCTCTGCTAAATTAGTGCAAAGGTGCTGAAAAGAAAAAATGAAGTGGGCTTCTCCCCCCACTGCTGAAACAAACTATAAAAGGAGCATCATGCCTCTAAACCCAATAAAAAGCAACACTTCTTTCTAACCATGTTCCGTTTATGCTGAACAAGGGCCTTCTGAAAGTTTTTACCTGGTTTAGTTTCACAGTTTGAGCGCTCTGCACTCCTCAGAAAGGAGAACAGAGGCATAGCTGCAGTACAAAGCCTCTTACCCTGGAACAACACAAGATCAAGGAAAGACCATGGTTCAGTCACAGAGCGATTCAAGTGGCAGGCGCTGCGTTGCAGACCCTTTTCCCAGCATCCTCATTTCATGATGATCCAGGCCTGAGCAGGAAGGGCAACACCAGAACGCTCTTTCCCTCCCAGAAGATGCACAGCAGCTGTCACTCACCTCCTGCCACTGCTCTGTCTGCTCCAGGTGTTCAGTGACTCTGGAATCACACCAGAGCAGCATTAAGCAACATAACTCCAGTGAGAAACACAGCACACCCAACGAGAGACCTCGCCTCTCCAAACGGTACTGATGCAACAACCTCATGAAGAAAATGAAATCATATAATAGAACTTGTAAAACAAAAAAAGAAATCACATATATAATGTCACATCTAAATGAGGATGACAGTGAATGGTGTAAAAAAACAACAGAGCTGCCACCAGGTATCAATACATTCCACAGCACCGACAGTTTGTTTCCTGGAACCGCATGTAAATAGCGGAGCACTTACAAACCCATGAATGTCACAACGCATCAGCTTGAGTGATTCCAAAATGCCTGTTAGCCAGAGGACTGGCAAGAGCCTACTCAGCAATCGGGGCTTCCAGTGAATATTACTAACACAACACACGCCAGGTTACAGAGTCTATTGCTTAAATTGCTCTTGGAGAAAGAAAAAAAAAGCGCCAAGTGATATGTAAATCTTCCCCACTCACGTCTCACAGGTGAATGGGCTTTTAAAGTCAAGTCTCTTTTTGCACTATTCTTTAAACCAGTTTATGAGCAGCTGTAGTCTCGTGGCTTGATGCAACTCTTTAAGGCTCCATGCTGACAAAATTATTTGAGAAACAATAAAAACTTCACCACAGGAGGATCGCTCTGGATGTCAAGGTTTAAACGCATAGTTCAGGCCCAGGACTTGCACAGATGGTTCAACAAACTGAGTGTCCCATATTTCTGTCTTTTGTCTCTTGTTTTGGCCCTGAGGTGTTTGTTACTCCTGCGTTGTCTGGCACAAGTTCAGAATCTTCCTTGCTCCTCAGGAGGAACAAGGTGTTTTACTTTTCACAGAGGCTGACGAACTGATCTTCCTACTTCCATGCTAAGTGGCTGTGCATTTTTTTCTGTTTCTAGTAACTCATCGAAGATATCCCTAGAGGAGAAGGAAAGACCAACAGTGAAACTTACTTACAGTAACAAATCATTACATAAGACAGCCCTGAGGGAACCAGCAACTGGATTTAATTCACAAACTCAAGCATCATGGATCCTGGCAGAGAAGTGCCTTATCTGGTGTCTCCAAGCACCAGTAATGACAGAAGAGGAGACAACCCCCCCTTCTTCAGTTCTGTGTGCCTGAAAAGATATCATTTCTATTCTACCTACAAACCTCATTTTGGCTGTGTCCTGAGATGACTGTGGCTGCAACACCACAGTTGCTAGGAGCAGGGATGAGGGCATTTACAAATATCACAACACTTAAGGAAAAAAACCCAAGCTGCATTATGATTCCGGTTGCAACGCATGCATACCTGAGACACTGAATCCTCTTCTTAAAATATGATTTAATGCATTCCTTAAAATCCTATGTATTATTGGCATACAATCTTACACCTCCGAACACAAAGCACTTCAGTTTTGTCATTCGGGATAGTTTTCATCCCAGCAAAGAAGACTAGAGGAGGAAGAAGAGAAGCCTTCTGCCTCATAAACACGAGGTAATTACTAGCACCAAACTTCCCCAGGTCACCTACTTGTGCATGTAGAAGAATATGTAGCCGCTCCGGTCTCTGTCACACTGAACGGTGGTCTCAAGAGTTCTAGACACTTCCAGGTCATTGTAGGTGAACCAGGACTGCTTCTTGATATCATAGACATCACTGATATAATGACCTTAAAAACAGAGAATCGTAGAATGGTTTGGGTTGGAAGGGACCTCAAAGATCACCCCGTTCCAAACCCCA